TGTTTGTAGCAGCATGTTTACATTAATAGGCTACCATATTATTTTTCAGTAACTGAAATTTGTTCTGAAATTCTAGAAATAATTGTAAAACAGTTAAATACAGAGTGAGATTACAGAGAGAAAGCAGAGTTTACCACTTTATTAAAATTGTGATTGTTCACATAAAGACTCAACCAGGTCACATATTAATAATTATCACTGACAATCTTTAACATCAGACTAAACCCACAAGTGAAGCAATATTACATCTCTCTCTCTCATTTATCTTTACTGCTTATGGCCCCTCTGTGGTCAGCATGCTGTGAGCTTCGTGGACATTTAATTATGAACACATCATAAATGTGGCTGACAAGGCAGAAGCTGGGTTCAGATGCTCCTGGGATGAAGGAAACATCGTTGAAACCACTTAGACTTGCAGTACTTTCATTCTGTTACAATAAACAGTGTTCCAAGTTACCATATACAGACTGAATATAAAGCTTGCTCCCTTTCTCATTACAGATTTTCATTTCATCAAATGTTAAAGCATCTCTTGGTGAAAATATGAGAATGCATTGTTCATGACCCTTTAAAAATAAACTATTTACCTTTCACTAGACAAGTTATAACAGTGTAATAAGGGCCAAATGCTGAAATTTTCTACCAGTGTCTGTCATATAGATTACTGGGAAAAGGAATAGAAATGCAAAACCTGGATAATAACACTATGAAACATTTTGGCCATGCTGGGTAACAGGACAGATGTCTCAGAGAGCTCAGGCAAAAGAAAGGAAGTACCCGACAGCACACATAATTTTTGCTATGAGTACCAATATATATTACTCCCATCTATAAATTCCTGGGTATCAGTAAGATAGAAGCTAGTCTGGCCTAACGGTTTTTACAGCAAAGGCCATAATTGTGGTACATTATCACAGATCTTAGTCCAAAAAAACCCCAAAAGCCCGCTATACACACTCAGGAAGATGACAAGACCAGCAGATGCTATGCATTTGAAATAAAATTCTGACATCAGAATCATATGAACATTTTGTCTTGAAAACACACATAGTAAGCAAGACCAAAGCATACAGATTTGGTATAAACAAAATAGAGAGCAAATTATGGATAAATCAGTTAAACTACTGTACTGCCACACTGGCATAAAAGAAGTTCAACATCAGAACAATGCTCTTTCAGAAAGAAAGTTAGTTACAATATATTCCGACTCAAATTAGTTTCACATCCTCACAGAAGCTACTTTCTGCCACTCTCTTCACACCGGCTTTGATTTTGGATTTTGTCTTTCACAGCAATGAAAATCCCTGTGGCAAATAACAGCATCTCAATTCTATTGAGATTCTTGAAACATCATTGTTATAAAATGCTCTGAATCCTCATCATTTATAAGCTTTACTAACAAGAACACTATTTTAATAAAGCAGCCTATATTGTCCACAAAGCTGTCAAAAATAGCACAAAGATGTCACCTCTAAGGTGATTTTTTTTTTTTTTTGCAGAATAAAACTCATAATGCTAAGAATTAACATTTTAACAAAGAGTAAATCTTGCAAGCTACCCTGATGCTTAAACACCTAGGTAAGAATAAATGTGCATGCAAAGAACTAACCAGTGTCATGTTTCAAAGCAACTGTCCTCTGTAGTGCTGAGGTACATATTTCTATACCTCCCCAACAGACTAGAAATAGAAAAGACAAAGCATATAATAAAGCCAAGCACAATGAAAGAGCTCTGAAGAGAGAGCTGAAAAGTAGCTATCATGTTGGCAGATAAATTCTACACACAATTATTCATTCCTAGCCTCTTGACATGTAGATTAATGAGTTTGATAACCCAGGCTTCTAAGAAGTAGATTCAACTCTGTTTCACTTGCTTTCTTCTCCTCTTCTAACTACAAACAACACTTTGGTCTATTGAGGAAAAAAAAACAAATCGATACATTTGCACCGGTCATCAACATTTTTGCAATTGAAGTCCTATGTCAAAAATATGATATCTGCTCTGGGATACGGCTCTTTACTGGCTCTGTCAAGAATTCACAGGGGCTCATGTGATCACTGGAGGGAGGAGTTTTTGCTTCAGCAGCCTGTGCTTCCATGCCAAGTTCAAAGTCTTATAGTAGCCATGGAAAAAAAAAAAAAAAAAAAAAAAAAGAAAATCAAGCAAACCACTACAAAAACAAAACAAAACAACAGCAACAAAAACCACCACAACAGCCATTCCCATAGTTATAATGGCCCTGTATTCACTGCAATGTGGTCTGTACATAAAATTTTCTATTTCTTCCCTGAGGGCAAATGACCTTTTGTCGACACTTTGGTTAATGTTCACTGATCAAAGTGGATTTTAAAGCAAGTGCTGTATCAGATTCCAGCCATGATAATTTTACGAGGGGTTGTGTCTGCCTTAAACCAGTACACAGGGTGGTGCACACTTGGTGGGGGGGGAGCGAAGGGGAGGAAGGAAAAATATGGTTAATGATTTACAAATTTATTCCTTGTTGAGGCAACTCTTGCAGAGTGGAAATGTTTCATTCTTGATTGGTGAGCAGCTCTGAGTCCTTTTTTTCCTCTCAAATGTTATGAGATCAAATTCTCTCAAGTAATAACAGTCATATGCAGCTGCTTAGGATTTATCAGGAGGTTTAAGGGATGGGGACTGAGGAGGGGTGTTTGTTTGAGGTTACCCCATTTTTCTGGTTAACCACAAGGTGCAAAGTAGTCTTTGGTTCTTAAAAGAAAAAACAGAGAAATACTGTGTTGTAAAATTACTAAAATATTACTTAGATAATCACAATTTCAGAGCCCTGTCTAGTGTAATTATGGTTTCTTGTTATCTGCAACAGGAAGAGAAATCAAGATTAAAGTGGGCACTCAATGCATGCTAACAGGCTCATCCTGAGGGAAGAAAAAAGTTACAATAATCCCAGAACTAGAGACAGGTTACACCAGACTAGTGACATCAAAGTATCAACGACATTCCATAGCATTCAAGTGTAGTTTACTTGCTCAGGCAAGAAGCGACATCTTTCACAGCCTGCATAAGATTTTCCTACTGCAAACACCATAACAATTACTAATTTTTTTTTTCCCCTTTGCATGACTCTCTAATAATCTGAGCAATCAGTGTGTTTTCGTGCCAGTCACCATGCAACATTTTTTTTACCTACACCTGAAAGTAGCTTGGATTATTGGATTTTATTTCTTTCTATCTCTACCTTATACTTTTATTCAGGAAGAACTAAGTTGATGTTGCAAAATTTTATTTTAAGCAGAATTTTCTATTTTTTTTAATATTGTTTAAACCTGATTGCTTAAACTTAAATGTATTTGCCCTGGATTTTTTGTTTGGTTGTGATTTTTGAGTGATTTTTTTTTTAATTAAAAAAAAAAAAAAGGGGGCCCTACTGCAGGATGAGATACCTAACACTCACAGGGAGGAAAGACATGCTCTAGCAATATCTTTCATTTTATCTACAAGCTTTATGATCCTGTAGCATGATGTGCACCCCCTCACACATCTCAACTGTAAATCTACTGCATGAGAGGTTATTTAGAGATACAAATTACTGTTATGCACAATCCCCTTTGTAATCAAATATATCTTCAGTTTAGTGTTCACTTTAGAGAGGTTTCATTCCTTTGATGCTCTTAAAGCCAACCTACTGAAACAAGTTCTGGAAAGTGCCATTCTTCAAAGTAAATCATAAGGAGGGAAGTTTTTTTTCTGAAAGATCTTAGAAATAGCTCATGCTGCTGCTTCCAAATATTAATTTTCAGAAATATTCACACTAAGTGGACCCTGTATGTATCTACTACATTCAGAAATTGTCATGCAGACCTATCCTTCCCACTACAACAGCTAAGGATCTGCATGCATCCAGAGTATCTAATCTCCAAGCATCTAATCTTCAAGGACAGACATTTCTGTAGATTGAGGGAAGATGAACCAAAAAGGACAAAATATGAAGCTATTTATTATGATGATTGCGCACAGAAATCAATTTTTTTTTTCTGCACCTCCCCAAACACTGAACCTAAGCATTTTAAATTTAGACCAGTAATTTAAGTCCTGAATTTTGGAGGAGGGCAGGGGTTTTACATAGAAGTTAGGTTTTGTAAAGATCTGCCCAGTTCCTTTCATTTGCCGCTCATACCAAAGTATACATCTCTTTCAAGCCACATGATTTGTATTACGAATCCATCACATTGACACCTTCTCCTCGGGCAGTGCTCCAAAGTACATCCAGGAGTCAGCCAATGTTGATATACAGTGCCGAGAGGTACAGCCACCATTCTATAAGCCAGTTAATCAACAGCATTAGATAAGTATCTCAAACTACTACAGCTATAGATATTCCAAACAAAGGAAGATATGAAAATCAGCAACTTTACTATTTCTGGAATGTCAGCTGCACTGAAATTCCCAAAACCAACACAAACAGCCCGTGCAAAATGGTGACTTGCACCATGTTTATACCTATAGTGTTCTAACAGAACATCAACAAGTATACCTAGTCTACAAGATAAATCTTGCTTTAGTACTCCAGACGTCATTAGAAATCATTAAGCATTTCAGTGGAGATTACAGAGAAAACAATGGTATTAGTGAAGATATATACAAGACTGTTAACTGAGAACTAAATTGTATTGTGGAACAGCTTTGTGGTCTTGCTGGGATTAACAGCCACCAAGAGTGATTTCTGCTCAAATATGTCTGGCGTCTTTTCCTCATGTTGCGAAAATAAGTGGAAGTGCTCTGTGACAATGAAAGGTACACAAGGAATTCTCGTTTTATCAGAATGGTGTTGGGCATGACTGATCCCATATTGACAGGCATAAAAGATGCTCAATGACTGCAGAAACAAAAGAATCTTCCAAATTATCCAGACCTAAATGCAAGCTAGCTCAAGAATCGCTAGTAATTTGTAAAACAGTGGTTAGGTTACTATATGCATATCTTCTAATCCAGTCAAATAAAAGAAAATATATTAGTCTCACCTTAAGAGCTCTTTGTGTATACAGTGGAGGCTTGTGATTTTCTTCCAACAACATCTGGGGCTCAAGATCTAGTAAATCCTCTTTGTGTAGTAGCTGTTACATTGATAGACACTGGGAACTAAACAACAGGAATTATTTTTGCAGCCAAATTGATATGCAGGTGCACATCTGAGCACATTTATCTCTAATTATCTGTTCTCAGGCACAAAACAAGCAGTTAGAGCAGAAAATATGCAGGTATTTATTTTATTTTATCCTTGCTCTGAAATTTGTTTAATGTGTGCAAAAATGAAGATTGAGTTGTCAGAGAAAAGAACTGAGTCTCAAGCCCACTAAAAATATGCCCCAAAGTGACTTGACCGTGTGAATTTTAAAACTTATATTTTAGGAAAGGAGCAAAAGTGTCTGCTTACAGGACTACCAGAAGCACTGAGATTGGCTGCCAAAGAGCATCAACATAACTTCAAACTACTCCACCAGAGCCATTCAACTTTTTTGGCAGACATGCACATTTTCTACACCCCTTCTGGGGATAAAATGCAGTATCTTGCATATGTGCATGTAGTAACAGATGGTATATGCCAATTATTTTAATAGAAAATATTGCATAAACTTTGAAATACCTCAGTATTCTAAAGCTCTAAGTTAGAACTCCTGGATAGAGAAATTTATATAATCAACCCCTTAAGGGAGATAAGCTGTATGCAATTTAGGATGTCCATCTCTCAGATGAGATAATTCTGCATTGTTATTACAGAGGATTTTTTTCTAAGAAAGGTTCGTCCTACAGCTTTCACTAAAAAGTTCACCTTTTGCCACCTTCCAGTACATTGAGTACCAAGGACTGGCAGTATAAGGATCTTTCCACTATATTAATTTCAATAGTGTGCATGTTATGTCTAAATTACTTATTGCCATATAGCAGTGATCCTTAAGTTATCTTTAACAAAGGGCACAGAGTATATTAGCTTCTACAGATCTCTGTGGTATCTCAGCTAGATTTCTTTTGGAATCTAACAAGAAATCTCTATATTGCCCTGCCAAATGCCATGTAGACACATACCAGTATAGCAGGCCAGTAGCAGAAGCAAAATTCTGATTCCATAACATATTCCAACATACTAATCATTGTAACATACTGCCTCTTATTAAGTCCTTTGGATGAAAATAGTATAGGAGTGTCAAACTCTTCCTTTCTTCCCTTATTTAAAAATAATAAATCTTACATAGACACAAATAAATGTTGCTTCTTATAGCAGCCTTACACCAAGAAAACAAGACTCTGCGAGAGAACCCAACTACTGAGCAACAGATTGAATGCCTGAATACTTCTAGAACAAAGTGGATTCATGCAATGTGTTTATGCACAGCAACAGAGATCCAAGGAATCTGCTCATTTAACAGCCACACAACAGACAAGGTTATTGTAAGTTAATGCAAACGTCTAACAAATATTAAAGATACACCCAAACCTGAACAACCAGCTTTTACTATGGCAGTCTACCCAGTTCCAATGAAATGTTCTAAGTACAGGTTTGAAAAACTATCTCAATACAGAAGAAATAACATATTTTACTTAAAGTACCAAGCCTAATGATTCAGGAGTGAATGCTACCTCTCACCCCCGCCCCAGCCCTCCACTCACACACGCACACACACACACACACACATCAGATTCACAGGATTAATATGAGACTGGCTTGAGGGTTTTAGCAGTAACTGCTGCAAAACAAGTTCTGATTGGTTGATTCAGAAATTGGGATTCTGGGCAGTGTTTTATAAAAGGATAATGTATCTTTAAGCCTAGGTGCCCTTCAGGGAAATGTATTGGATAAATGTCTTCTGAAAAGCCTGTAAATATTCCATCGCCTCACTGTCATTACTACCATGAAATGATAATGAAGCATGAAAGAAATATAATTCCATATTCAGATGACAGCATTAGCCTTCATAAGCAAACTGAAATATTTATTAGTAAAATGTTCGGTATCTACGCCTGTAATCTAAAAAAAGGACAAAAATGTTTTATAATAAAAAAGAGATTGAATGCAGAGGTAAAATCTGGTTGGCTGATTTTATTGCTTATTATTAAATCCAGGCAAAACAATTATTTTTTTCTTTTCATTAGTAAGGCACCCAAATTAAAACTATGCCCTCAGGCTGTGAGGTTTACAGTAGTGATTAAAAACAAGAAATTGTGATGCATGGGGTTTTTGACAATGGCATAATCAAATTCATTCATATTGTTCAATCTTTCACTGACAAATATTTTTACAGTGAAATATTCCAAACAAAGAAGCACATACAAGTACTATCAATACAGAGAAATTAGGGAGACTTGTTATTATTGCAGTAGAGAACAGATACAATGTTTCTATAATCTTGAATACAAACATTATAGTGTAGTTAATTAGGGTAATTATTGCCTAAATTGTGCTTAATTGTTTTATACTGAAAAGGATTTCTGAAAGAAGCCTTTTGGATTTCTACAAGGCACAGAAGTGAATACTGTGCAGTCTAAGTATTTAGATGTAATTTCATAAGTTTGATTGTATTTCCTATAAGTCAGAAAATACATCCTGAAGCAGGCTGGGACAGAGATAAACAGGAGCCACACGCCTTGACCTCTGTTTCACCTTATTGAAAAAGAGGCGTAAAATAGTCATTTAGTACACTAGCACCAGAGAGCATTCACACACTCTAAGCACATTCTTTTAAAAAAAAGGTCTTTGAAGTGAGTGAAAAATTAGAAATTCAAGTGACCACGATCAATTCTGAAACAGTGCACAAAATTAATTACAGTTTTGCATCAGAAGCAAGAATGTAGATTTCAGACAGTCTATGTCATTTATCTCATGCTGTACAATATACAAGGCGATTAAAAAGCCAAATCTGTTCCCACCCCCCAAGTCTAAGACCTATGAGAGGCTGTGAAGTACAAATGATTAACTCCAAATTATTCAAGGGATTGTACAGAGCTTCAACTTGAATGAAATTTGCGGCAAGTCACAGGAGCTACGGAGGGACAGACTTGCTGCTCTTTATCAAAATCTAGTCTGACTATCACTGACAGAATCCAGATAAATTGCATAGTAATCTGGCAATGGCTGTGGAAAGCTTGCTCTGCAAAATCCAAATCTCTAATTTCTATCTGTTTTTAATTGCTTGACTTAGATTTGCATTTTTATACAATTGGCTTAAAGGATTTATTCAGTTCTTTAGGCTACTCTAATAAAATTGGGTCCCATTTTGCACGGTATCTCAGAAACCTACTTACATTAAATAAGCATGCTGTATTACAAAAATATTTACTGTAGCAGAAAAAGATTCCTTTTTATGTCATGTTCAGAATTAGCTAAAGAATACATGTGTCAGGAAGCTCATTTTAAACTCCCCTATGAAAGCATACCTCAGAATAAACAGGATAGCATAACAAAGAAAAGTGGGGGAAAAAGCATTCATTCAACACAGGATAAACTGGTAAAACAAAAATACACAGGTGGACCAAGAGTAGGTACACATTTAAATACAAATAAGAAGTTACCAATAATGCAATGTGCTGTTAACCAAGCATCTTGAAAACAGCCATGCATGCAGCTCTCCAGAACCTGAAAGCTGGACATTAAAGCAAGAACTTCTGTTCTTGTGACTACCATGCTCCCACATCATTAACAGTGGTGCTGGCATCGACTGACAATTATCCATATTAATAAAATAATGTCACCCACCTAGATTATAGTTTACCTTACCCCAACCATAAATATTACAGAATACCAACACCTGACCAACATTTGACTAGCTAATATCCCTCAGCCCTTGTTCAATTGTGTATCAGAAACCAAGTTCAAGTGTGATGACTGAAAACTGGCACTGCAGCAGTACAACTAAGGCAAAACTACTAAGTTCTCTAAAATATTACACTCCTAATAATATCTTCATCTGCATTTATCCATTCTGGAACTGACTAATGCAAGAGATGAGGAGACCTATTTCAAACACACATTTTAACTTTCTGCTCAAACTTTGCCAAAACAGTCGTTTCATTTAAAAGATATGCCTGCCAAAGGCTATGAGCATCTTTGACTTCGTGTGAATATCCATAATCAAAAAAATATACAAACTTCAGTGTAGTTTAATATAACTCAGTAGAAATAACATCTTACATTCTTACAGATTAAGTTCAAATACCATTAAAAAAAAAAAAATTGAGGAGAGGCAGTTATCCAAACAGTCATTTTCCCCTCTTCAAGTCAGAGATAATCGTCTGGGATGTAAACGCAAAAGAAGTTCCAGCAGCAAGAAACCAAACACCCTCCACTCCACTGAAGAACCATTCTACATAGATCAGCAGAAATAGGGACAGAAAGCGGGAATTATGTCACTTCCAAGGCTCTAATGTTCACAAATAATTCATAGTTCTACTGCAAGATCCAGAGGAACTTTATTTTGTTCCGCTTGCCAATGTCCTCTGCAAAACTGCATAGGAAGAACAGCATAGTTTCTTCCTAGAAAACCAAAGAAAAACATAGAATCACAGAGTGGTTTGGGTTGGAAGGGACCTTAAAGATCACCTAGTCCCAACCCCCCAGCCACAGGCAGGGCCCCCTTCCCCCAGCCCAGGGTGCTCCCAGCCCCGTCCAACCTGGCCTTGAGCCCTTCCAGGGAGGGGGCAGCCACAGCTGCTCTGGGCACCCTGGGCCAGTGACTCACCACCCGCACAGGAAAGAACTTCTTCCTTCTATCTAACCTAAATCTACCCTCTTTCAGTTTAAAATCATCACCTCTTGTCCTATCCCTACACCCCCTGATTAAGAGTCCCTCCCCACCTTCCCTGTAGCCCCTTTAAGCACTGGGAGACCACTCTAAATTCTCCCCAGAGCCTTCTCTTCTCCAGGCTGAACAACCCCAACTCTCTCAGCCCGGCCTCATAAGGAAAGTGCTCCAGCCTCCCAGTCATCTGGAAGCCACTGGAAATGCTGGAAGCCACTGCTTAAAATGGCAAAGTTAGGAGAGGATGGCAAAACTCTGTGTTAAACTGACATGGAATCAAAAGTCAGCGCAACACAGAACATAGTCATTTCTTGTAGCTAGTAGAATAGAAAATAACTGTCCATAACC